CTGCTTGTGTGTATTTCTCATCCCTTTTCATTCTCTTTGAGAGTTTGTGAGAAGTTTCCTATTATACCTAGAATTTAGAATAATGCCTATGCCTAGTACATATTTAAAAATTCAGATTATCTTTTATGTGTATATGCCACAGAGAGACAGACAGACAGAGAGACAGAGACAGAGGAAGTGGAGCTCAGGGCCTTCGCTCACAGCTGTATCCCCAGCCCCCACCCTCTTGTTCTCCCTTATCCCCTGTTTAGAATTTTAAGATGGGATCTCACTAAGTTGCCCAGTCTTTGCCTTGTGGTCTTCCTGCCTCAGCCTCCCAGGGTGTTGAGATTCCAGGTGTGAGTCATTCTGTCTGGCTACATTCATGCATTTGCTGAAGTAATGCATTTTGACAGCTTCGACAGGAATGTTTATAACCTTGGCTGTTTCTAGATATCCTTTATTTTGCACTAAGATGCCCTTTTTACTTTTCACTATTACTTTCTAGTAATCTGGTTACCCTAAATTTTTGTTGTTGATTTTTGGCTTTTTCCACTAGAAAATACGATTTTCTGTTCAGATTATCAGTATAGCTGGCGTGAAGAGCAGAAGTTTAACCACCAGAGGGTGCCAGAGATTCACTTTTGTGTCCTACGTCTGACTCCGAAGTGATGCGTGGTATAGTTCTTCTACACATTTATTCAGTTATGTTGAACTTTCAAAAGATGTACCTCCTTGTTTTTTTATCTTTTCTGTATGAGCCTATTAGTAGTATGTTGGTTACATAATGCAGGATATGATACAGTTGTTAAGCATGGCAGAGCAAGATTTTTCTTTTTAAGAGAAACCAGTCTACTAAAAACAAAAACGCTGCTTACCTTGAAAGCCAGACTGCATGAAGCAGCATCGTGTGTAGCAGCCGTGCCCAGATCAGTCAGAGCTAAACTTCAGAAGTTCTGTGCCCGCTCCTGATGGGAGTGAGGTTATGAGTGTACCCCACCAAGGCAGCGCTCAGGAATGCGACTGTGACAGCTTTCAGAGTTCCTAGTCACAGTAAAATGATGTCCAGTAGCAGTTATCCTTGTGCCCACATACAGAATAAACCGAGAAGGAGGAAGCTCGAGGTGGGTGCACTGTAAAGCCGAGGTTAGTTACAGGCATTCTCACCAAAGAACAAAACTATGCCTGGGATTCACATTAAAACTTTAACAGGCTTAATCATCTAATGAGGATACGAATACAGCCAGACACTTTTGAAATGATTTATTAGTAAATATTTGCCAGTATAGTGTTGATTAACAATTTCACAGTTACCTGGAGATTTTAGTTAATTAAAATTTTGGATGCTCACCCAGAATGGAATTATCTGAAATTTGGGCAGTAATATGTACTTGAAAAAAAAAAGTATATTGTTATATTTTAAATAAGTACTAGTATAGACTAGGTCTCAGGATATAAACGGCAGCATGTAACGTGTAATACATGTGTTATATTTTGATAAGTAAGTAATGCTTATTTTGTTTCTAATACAGTTTTAGTTTTTAATGTTTTCATTTAGAATCATGTAATAGGTTGAGTTTTATACTCATCTTAAAGATGAAAAGGGACTTGTCCATTGTCATTCTGTTGATTATGAGGCCAGGTGCTGAAATCTGGTCTCTCTTAATTATAGAATCAGTACTGTTAATTCTTGATTTTTTTTTTCCTCAACTTTTTATTATGACGTGTGTGTGATACCCGAGGGAAACCGGTGCACAAACACACTCTACCTTGGTGCTTTCACTCCTCCTCCCCTCTGCTTTCTCTTGTTGCCCCAGTCTCCAGGTCCTCTTCCCTTCCTCGCAAAGAGCCAGCGCTGAGGCTTCGATTTGTTGTATGGCTTTATTTTTTATTTTTTGGTCTCAATTTCACTGATATCTTTTTTTTTGGTGGAACCGGGGATTGAACTCAGGCCCTTGCGCTTGCCAGGCAAGTGCTTATTCTACTGAGCCATCTTCCCAGCCCCTATTTAACTGATTTCTGTTTTCATCCTTATAACATTATTTCGAGGCAATGGCCTTGAACTTGAGATTTTCCTGCTCCAGTCCCCTGAGGCCATGGGATTCAAGTGTGTGCCTGTCTGGCTTGAAGGCTTCTTGTGCTGAGGAACTGTTAATTTTCCTTTTTCTGAATATCTTTTGGGGTTTTTTTATGATTTTTTTTTTCTGAGTATCTTTTGAAACATCACAAGGCACTGCGTTAATCTTAAAGTCATGGTACACTGATTCTCACATCCTTAAAATTGAGTAGAAATACATCGAATCAGAAGTAACCCTACACATCACAGCCCCGACTCCTGCTCCGGCCTGTCCTGACTTTCCTGGTAATCCTGCCAGGGCAGTGTTTCCCCAGAGGGAAGTGGTGGGCTTGGGTGCTGTTTATTGGGGCACCTTTTCCTCTTTCCTCAGTAGGGGTCCTCCTCTGCACCTGCTGTCATCTGTAGTCATGGTAACTGCAGCTGAACTAGAGAGAAGTTTTCAGCTTGGAGGCAGATGGAAGGGCGAATGGCTAGCAGAACAAGTCTCACTGGGCAGTTGCTTCCCTGCTGATTTTCAGGGAAGGGCTGCAGGATTCTAAAAGACGGGAGTGGACCTTCATTGGCTAAATTCCATTAAGCGTGGGGCTGTGCTAGGAACTGGTGCTCTTCTCTCCAGCCCGTGTGTGAGATCTCAGCCGGGGCTGGGGAGGAGCCCCGGAGACACTGCCTGTGGGGCCTGTGCGCCCGCACCATGTGCGTGTGTGTTCAGAAGCACTCACTCTTGCTGTGTGGGTGTAAGTGCCTGCAGAGGAACCGTTCATAACTCCGATTCTTTATTAAAGGAAACGTGAGCCTGTCGGCCTAAGTGTGATCTTATTTCCTATCTAGTCTAGCCTAGTTTTCTTTTCCTAAGTGTTTATTTCTTCAATACATTACTCTTGTCCATGAACATAGTACATCTTCCAAGAGGTACAAGGGGCAGGAATATGATTTCAAGTTCGTCCTTTTCCTTTCCCTACTTCCCCACTGCCCTCTCTGGAGGAGGATTTCTCAGGTACCCCCCAGCTCCGCATTATGTCCGTCTAAGCACAGTGTAGTCAAGGTGCAGTCTCTTCATTCTGTGTCCATCCAACAAGGATCACCAACAAGGACCTTAGGAAGCAGCTGACTTACTTATTTCATGGAAGAGCAAACTGAGTCCCAAATAACTGGTTAGGAGTGAATTGTTGTGGTGTGAGTTGATTTTTCACTGCTGTGTTCTTGACTTTTAAAAATTTTAGTTGACTTATTATTATAAATATTCCTGGGGCACCATGTGATGTTCGTATACATGTGAGTATTGTGCATTGTTCAATTCAGAGTAATCACTTTTATCTCTTTAAACATTTATCATTTTTTTGTGGTAAAGATGTTTAGAATCCTAGCTTTTTAAAACATACAGTATATTATCTATAGTTACTCTTTTGTGCAATAAAACACTAGAATTTATTACTTCTGTCTATATCATAGTACCCATGAGTACTTGGGTTTTTAAAAAAAAAATTCAAGACAGTTTTTGACTCAGAATTTGGTCCCCATTACATTTATGATTTCTTCCATTCTTATAATTTAGATGTATGTATAGATACAGTTGCCTCTTGTTCTCAGCATTCCAACTGTCCCTTTGCGATATTTGATGAGATGGAGACACTGTGTCCTTTGTCAAGCACATTCATTGGTTGGCTTGAGAGACTGATTTTTAGGTTTTTCTTTCCTTTAGTGTAGAGGAAAGCTCAACGTCTTAATGTTGAGCTCTCAGGGTACTGTTCAGATGATAAGACAGTTCTTTCTCTTCACTTTCAACTCTTGTGTCTGGCAATTTCTTTCTTTCATGTAGCTGTTCCTCCTGTATATGTTTGCGTATGGACTTCCCCTACCCCACTGCTAATGTGCTACTTTTTGAAGTTGAACACCAGAGGCCATTATTTCTGGAGTGTTTGACAGTTGTAATTTATATCCTCTTTCTGTGCACAAATGCGTTACCATGGGGAGCTTCGTAATTTAACTCTGGACATAAGACCACATGATACACCATTTGGCCCCATGCAATCAAGAGAAATAACGTACTTTTTATATAATCATGTTTGTGTAAATTAAATTACACTGTGCATTGTTGTGTGAATTATGACCAGTGACTTGCTTGTTACTATACATAGTGGTAAGGGTCTGGGAGAGAATTTTAGTATTTTTTTCTTTCTCTACCCTTAAATATATTACTTATCTTAGTACTGCAGCCATGTGGCAGTTCTAGGAGATAAGAGCAACTGTTTATTTTTGCTGATGTAAAGCAAGAAGCCAAAACATTTTGTGTTTTCTATGTAGATCTTTTATACATGCACATGTAAGTGTACATCTATTTCGCTTTATATTTAGTACATAGGCGATTCATAGCCAGTTGCTTCAGGTGTGATTTGATGTATTCAATTGGTAGAGATGAAGCTCACCAAAAGTCTGAAGCAGAAAACCAAGCAGTTTTAACAGTTCGATTCCAGAACAACAAGCTGCTTCTCATAGGCCTTTGTGTGGGTTCAGACCTTTGAGGACGGGTGAGCAAGGGGTCTGCTGCCACACAGTGGAACTAGGGAAACTTGAGGGGGGTTTAACTGAAAGACAAAGATGGCTGTTTTTATTTCTGGTCTTTCATTGCAGAGCATTTGTGGATGGCTTAGTGCTACTCCAGATTCCACTTGGTGCGTCTTATGCCAGACAGGGAACAGTGAGCTCTAGCAGGCGGAGGTGCTTCAAACTCATTGTTCCTTTATTCAGTGTACATGAATAGTTAGAGATTCCAGTTAATTTCAAAAGCTTTTGGTGGGAGGTAGCTATTTGTCAGTTCTTCTCTTGTTTGGATAAACCAAGTAAAATAATGTCATTGTAAGGAGAGATCTGGTCTTTTTGCTCTGTGAAATTATGCCTTCATGTACATACTCCAAACCCCCAAAACCTTACTTTTTCCTTCTATCAGAGATGAAGATGACATCAATGATGTGACTTCCATGGCAGGAGTCAACCTCAGTGAAGAGAACGCCTGCATCTTAGCGACAAACTCTGGATTGGTGGGCACGCTCATTCAGTCATGCAAAGAGGAGCCGTTTCTTTTTATTAGCGCTCTACAAAAGAGAATCTTAGACATTGGTAAGTATAATTATGATCACTGACCTGACAGGGATGCTTGAATGAAAGCGTTAATCAAAAAAGACAGCCCGGGACTCTGAAGACTTGGGTACGGCGCTAGAAGTAATCAGGATTTCCTGGGCGTGATAAGAAGAGATATTTTGTTTTAGAAATTATTAATATAATCATATAACCTGTATGTTTTGTGGTTTAGATAATGGAAGTCAATATTTTTATTCCTTTTTATTAATTTTTTTTCATTTATTTATTTGATACAGGGTCTCGCTACATAGCTTAGACTGATAGTGACCCTCCTGTCTCAGTCTCCCCAGCACTGGGGTCACAGGTGTATGCTGCCACACCCAGTTTCAGTGGCCAGCACAGTGTACCTGGGGTTCTGGGGCTGGCACGGCATGTGGTACCCGGGATCAAACTCAGGTTCTTGAACTTGCCAGGCATGCGCTTATACCACCAAGCTATCTCCCCAGCCCCAATATTCTTATTTCTGGATGAGGTAATAGATGTGTGTTTTTACATTAAATATATAATGTTAAATTTTTTTCTATGCTGGTCTTCCTTGGTTGTCTGTTGGGCAGTTATGTGTACGAATATACATCTATGTTACATGTTTGTGTTTATAAAATAAAGAAGAAAGTAAGTCTTTTTTTTTTCTTTTTCATTAATCCTGAAATTTAAACCAACCCTTTAACAGTGACTGTCATATGTAAAAGAACCTGAAAGAGAAAATATCAGTATTATTTTGTAGCCAATGACATTATTGTCGCTTACATGTAGCTCAACACCAGGAGAAAACCTGTACTCTCCCCACATTAACTAAAAAAAGAGATGAATTAGGGAGAGATTTTTGTGTCAGACCAGTTCTTGTGTCTTGACCCCTGGGACTTCCAGAGATCAGCTTTTCTTCTTTGTCCATGTCAGGTTTTAGGCTGAGTTTGGCTGAGTTAGAAACCTCTGTGTCTCATGTTGAAGGCTTCGTATAAAATGTGATGATTTCTGCCTTTTCTGTGCCCATGAAATGTTTAAGGATTACTTTTACTGAAGTCTGCTTCACGAGTAAATGTTTGAGCTGCTGTATGCTGTACAAATGAGCACTTCCTCAGTTCCTGTTGAAATTAAGCATGTATTTCTGTTACTATAAACAGCTAGATTTACGAGTAGCTCAGTCGGCAGGAGTTGAGTGACCTCGAGCATTTGCTGTTCGCCCACCTTCCTCCTCCTTCCCAGCGCCCCGCTTCCCTCTTTGCACGTGCTTTGAGCTGTCGACCACTCCCCGTAGGACGAGCCCCATTCCTTCCCGCAGTGGCTGAGCTGTTCACGGCTGTTTTAACTCCTTAATGCCACATAATTATATAAAGTGTTGGTAGAATAATAAATGTTTAAAGTTGATTAATTCTCCCTTTTCTCGATTTCTAGTTCAGCGTAAACCGTGATTGTATGCGGAGGTGTTTTTGTACCATTGAGAGGTCATTTCCGTCATTATGACAGGGCCCGGCCCCCTTTGGCCACCATGGGCTGCGTGGTGTATATCTGCCACGTCGTGGGCTGCGTGTTCTCTCTTGCAGCTTCTCGGCTCTGCTCCCATGGGGCAGAGCAGCCCTAGACAACTGTGAGCAAACAGGCAAGCCTGCTGTCTTCCTCAGCTGGGGCTGCTATGACAAAACGCCAGAAACTCCCTGGCTCGCGTGGCAGACACTGGTTGGAGCTTGCAGGCCGAGAGCAGGGCTCCCACGGGGCTGGGTTCCTGGGAAAGGACCTCTTGTGGTCCTTAGAGCCTTCACTGGTGGTGCCACACAGGACACACTGCTACCTCTCTGGCCTGTTGATGAGGGATCTCCTTTTAGGACTTCACTCGCCCTGAGGGTCCCACTCTGAATATCATCATGGGGGATAAGGGTTCAGTGAACCTGGAGAGGGGGAGCGCCTGAGCGGTCAGTCCATCATGGTTGTGTTCTCATAAACTTCATTCACAAAGAAAGACGAGGTGGCTTTGGGTGGTGGCTACAGTCTGGCAGCCTCAGGTTTAGGAGAGCAGGTGACAACTGTTTCCATTTTCATTTGTTAATGATAAACACAAGCTTGTCATATAATAAGATGATAAATGGCAAATCTTCTAAATTACCTAAGCTTTTTTTTTCTTTTTTTTAATGAAACTATAGAGCAAATGATGTTAATATAATTCTAGCAATGTTTTGTACTCCTAATAAAATCCCTTTTGTATACGTGAGGGCATAGTCTAGGCCATTACTGACACAGAAATTATGTTACCCAAAGATTTTTTAAAAAAGATTTCTCTACTTGAATAATGTTAGGACATTAAATAACAGTTTTTTTCTAATTACCTGAATTAAGTCATACAGATGTTTAATAAAGTTCAGTGGTAAGCATGGAGCACGGCCTTAGAGTATGACAGGGCTTCTTCACTTATGGTGATGTGAGAACGAGGATTTCTCTTAAAAATGGGAAGATTTTATTGTACTTAACATTATAACTGAGTCATGTTTTATCACCGAGCTAGTGAAGCTATTGTAGAACACTTGCTGTTCTCTAACCTGGAATCGCTTGTTAAACTTAGCACTTTATTAGTTCCAGTGTTTTAAAAATATGATTTCTGTGTGTATCTGTTGTGTCTTTATTTTTCTATTTTGAGATGAGGTCTGTCCAAGTTGCTGAGGCTGGCCTGGAACTGGCGACCCTCCCACCTCAGCCTGCTTAGTCGCTGGGTTTATCAGCATGCACCTCTACACTCACTAAATACATCATTTTTAAGAAAAATCATGGATGAATTACCTCAGTTATACACTTGATGAAAATTATTTTCAAAGTTCCCTTTCTCTAAACATAAATATTCTGAAATGTTTATTCAAAAAATTTGAGCATGGAATGACATTTTATACCCTATCTACCTTGTATTTAGTTTTCATTATAATTACTGGATTACTTTGAAATTTAACCACTCCTTTTATAGAACTCCCACTTTTTTTTTTTTTTCTGCATTTAGGACAGGGTCTACAGGGTCTCACTATGTAGATCTGATTCTATTGATTCTCCTGTTTTCAGCCTCCCAAGTGCTGCTGGGATTACGGAATTACAGTGCCACCACGCCCAGTCTCAATCGCCATCTCAGCATGCCCTGGGGGCGGGGCTGGCAGGCATGGCATGCCACGCCAGGGATCAAACCCGGCCACTGAGCTCTGCCTGAGCAGGTGCTTTGGTCTGCTGAGCTCTCAGGCCAGCCCTTTCCACTGTTTATGTGAAGGGTTTTAATAAAGTAGGTTTCACTGTGTAGTGTATTTTTTCACCTACCAGAATCTGAAAGTAGACATGAATTTAGTCTTGCAACAAGGTAATGAATTACATTTTGAAGGCTTGGTTTAGGAGAAGTTGGATGATTTGTGTCTTTTGCCTATTTGATTACTACAGGCCATGCTTTAAATTCAAGTTTCAATATTCATCATGTGATAATGTCAAAGAATTTTTTTAAAAGTTGTTGGCTTAAGTGACACGTATTTTTGCTGTAGTTTTTCACTTTTTGATGAGAATGTGACTGCTTCATATAAATTAGTATTCAAGTCAAAACTTTTTAAAATCCCTGTACTTACACATATATGAAAAAGAATCACAATGCCAGTTTCACAAGCTCATTTAAGTTAGACCACCCAATTGCCCGTATCTTTAGATTTAGATCTCTGTTGATACAGGTGCTGTCACTGTACCTGAGAAATACTGTTTAAATACTGATAAGGTTAATTTATAAATGAGCTGTGCCTTTGGGTATGTGGTCTAAATTGTTTCCCTGAAACTTTCTAGTTAGCAGAAAGAAGAAAAAAATTATTCAAAGGAGAGACAAGTTATTCAGATAGATGGGTAGAATGATGAAGCTTTGAGCCCATTTGAACTTATAAATTGATAACCAGGTCAAATGATCAGAACATTCCCATGAAATATAGGCATGATTATTAATGGATAAAAACAGTGTAGGCATATCTTGTAGACAAGACAGTAACAGAGATTCACAATCTCTAGTCATTGAAGTAAATGTCATAAATTGTTAACAGTGTCAAACAGGGTGAAATGTAATTTTCTATTTTTTTAATTACTAAAATTAACAGAGTAGGGCACTAATTTCTACAGTTACCATTTTCTTCCCTGAACAGTAGACTTGATTTGTGTTCTTATTAACTTTGTCCTATAAATGACCTTGCGAGGAGAACGGTTCTGGAGGCTAAGTGAAACAATGTCTATATTTTCTAAGGCTTCAGGCTAGGTTTTATTAATGTAATGTCTAGGATCTTTGAAGTTGTGACTTTACCAGGAAAATTATAATCTCCAAACCTTTATTCATAATGGGTATGACTTCCAGGGGGAACAGAATACCTGCTGTGCTAATTATTTCAATTATCAGCCACTACTAAAACACGTAATGGATTTTCTCTGCTTCCACAGGTAAAAGGCATGACATTACGCAGTTCAACTCTGATGCTGTGAACTTGATCTCCCACGCAACACAAGAGAGATTACGAGGCCTTCTAGAAAAACTGACTACAGTTGCTCAGCATCGAATGACTGCTTACAAGGTAAAGGAAACCACTCAAGGGGTGCCCGCTCCTGTCTCTGTAACGCAAAAGGTAGTTTTTTGTTTTTTTTTAAAGCATGGATTCATGTTGTACATATATTTTTAAAGGAATGATTGAGACTTATATTTCATGTTAGTGGAAATTCAAAAGTCTTAATTGATTTAGATATGCTTCTAAGACACACAAAATAGCACGGGAAATGGTGTCCAAAGCTGCTATGTCGGAGTAGTTTAGAAGATGCATGTGTTCTGTTGGGGCTTTTCGTGCTCCAGAGTTTGACAAGGAACAAGATTCATTAGGCTGGAATGTTGGCTGCGTGTGTTCTCTTCAGTGGTCTGGATCCTGCTAGCATTCCTGTGCCTTTCAGTAAGCTAAATGATTTCACTGATAAAGTGCTAATACTGGTTCCACTCATTACTATTACTGGCTACTTTTATAAAAAATAAAATGCAGGAATATCCTGCCTTGTCCCTACTGATACGAACTCAATGGCTTGCCATTATTTATTTTCTTTTTATTTTAAAGAAGAAAGCCACAGTAAAAACAATGGTATAAAATTTCAAAGCAAGATTGTAGGACAGTAACAGTGGTTAGTATATTGTGTATTATCATCAATAGAGGCATGAAAAATGGATCAAATAATATAGGCATAAATCTTTCATTTCAACGAACCAATAGCAGTTACTAGTGTAATTCTCTTGCATCTATATTCTTTGTCCTTCCTTCTTTTTTCCTTTCCCCCATTCCAGCTTCTCTGACTTGCCATTATTAGGGTGAAAGCACTTGGTATATTTGAATTGTAGCTTTACAGGAGGACAAATATATTGGGTGATTAGAGATTTTTTAAAAGAAAATTCTTTTCCTTTGTTCTCAGGAAATACTGATAACTAGATTTTAACACAGTGATAAATAGATATCCTTGTGAAGTTCTGAGTACCAGGTTTGCGTTTGCAAGGAGGGTGATTGTTGTGGCTTCCTGACCATAGACTGAGAAGACTCCAGGAAGTATTAGTGGCCGTACCACCCGTAAGGTTCCTGGAGCCATCTCTGTGTTCCTTTCTTTAGAACTTTGGAAGAACAGTGTATAGTTACTGAGGTCCTTGTTTGCACAGATCTTTGTGACAGGTTGCTAAAGTAATTTAAAATACGTGATCAAGACAAAAACCTCTGGAAAACCAAATAGCATTCTGTCTGTCTCTATCTGTGTCTCTGTCTGTCTTTTTTTAGGAATTTATCCATTTTTTAATCTAATTTGTGCGGCCTACAACTTCATAGCATACTCTTCTGACCTTTTTTATTTCTGTAAGGTCAGTGACAATGATCACACTTTCATTTCTGATTTTCATTCTCTTTTTTGTTTTTTTCTCTCTCTCTCTGTCTAGTAGTCTAGTTAATAAATGGTTATTTATTTATTTTGTGTGTTCAGACAATTTTGCTTTCATTAATTTCCTCAGTTTTTCTGTTCTGCTTCACTTACCCCAGCACTGGTCTGTATTTTTTTCTGCCTTCCTGCTACTTTTGGGTGTAATTTGCCTTTCTGCTTTTAATTCTGTTAGGTGTAAAGGTGGGTTGTTGATTTGAGACCTTTCTTTTCTTACGTAGGTGTTACTGCTATGAATTTCCCTCTTCATACTGCTATCCCTGCACTCTGTGAGTTAGTCTGCTGTATTTTTATTTTCATTTGTCTCTTTTAAGTTTTTTTCTTGAGATATCTTTGATCCATTGGATAAGATTTATTCTTTCATTCTACAGATTCGTTAGTTTTTCAATTTTCTTTCTGCCCTTGATTTTTTTGGCTTCATAATATTGTGGAGAGAAAATACTTTGTGTGATTTAAGCTTTTTATATTTGGAGGCTTGTTTGTAACACATGACCTCGAGAATGTTCCCTACCCATGCCCGCGGAGTGAGTATTCTGTTTAGTTGGGTGTTGTGCTGATACATGTATTAATATGCTACCTGGTTTGTAGTGTGAAGGAATTTGTTTCCTTGTTGATCATCAGTCTAGATTTGTATCCGTTATTGAAAGTAGGGTGTTAACAAGCCTCTGGCTATTTTAGAGTGGTAGAATGGATACTTAGTGTGCAAGAAGTTCCAGTCCCCTGTACTACCAAAAAGTATTTTCCAATACTATTTCCTTCATGTATATGAAAACTCTATGAATAGATACATCTGTATTAGGCCTGCTTCTATTTGTAACAGTTGTCTGAGACAATCAACTTAAGTGAGGAAAGGTTTGTTTTGGCTCGCTTGTGGAGGTTCTGGTCTGCAGACAGCTACCCCATTGCTTTTGGGCCTGTGGTGAGGCAGCACGTCATGGCAGCCAAATGCATGATGGAAGAGTTGCTGACTTCACGGTAGGGGAAGGCGAGCCCTCAGTGATCACTTCCCAGCCCCACTGGCTGGGGGGAGCCCTCAGTGACCACTTCCCAGCCCCACTGGCCTGGGGGGAGCCCTCAGTGACCACTTCCCAGCCCCACTGGCCTGGGGGG